GAGGGAAACCAATGATGTGGAAATGTCAAGTAGGCAGTTAGGGTTAAAAGTTTGCATTTTCAGGGAGAGGTCTGCACCAGATACATAAATGTGGGAGTTATCAGTATATAGGTAATATTTCGAGCCACAAGACTAAAACAGATCACCAAAAGAGCAAGTGTAGATACAAAAGAAGTCCAGGGACTGAGCCCTGGGACACTCTCAAAAGCTTTGGGGTTGTGGGAGCCATGTGTAAGGTACCTCAAAAAAACAGAGTGATCAGTTGTGTTTAATTCTGATGACAGGTCCAGATAAAGTCTGAGAATGACCATTGGATTTAGCAACGTGGATGTCATTGATGACTTTGAAAAGGGCACTTTCATTGGAGAGGTAAAGGCAAATAGTCTTACTAGAATGTATTCAAGAGTGAATGTGATAAGAACAGGAACAGGAAGTATAGACACGCAAGGAGTTTTATAAAGAGAAGCAGAGAAGGTTGGTGGTACATGAAGGAGAATGTGGGGTAAAGAAAGGCAGCAGGTGGCTTTCTTTTTCTTTCTCTCTCTCTCCTTTCTTTTTTTCTTGGTTAGTTTTCAAGATGGGAGAAATCACAGGAAGTTTATATACTGATAGGAACACTCTAATAGTCAAGGAAAAATTATGATGCAGAAGAGAAGGGGAAGAAATGCAGAGGCAATGTCCTTTAGTAGGTAGAAGGGAACTGGATCCAGCCAGTAGTCAGAGTAGGCCTAAGACAGGAGAGCAAACAGCTCATCCATATTAACAGGAATTAACACATAAAGGTAGGTAGGTAGATATGACAGTGGGAGCTCAGGGAAGTTCCCTTTGACTGCTTGTTTTTTCAGTGATACAGAAAGCATCGTCACCAACGGCGAGTAAGTGTGAGGGAAAACCTACAGGAACTTTGAAGAGAGTAAAAAAAAGAAACAGTTATCTAGGAAAGTGTTCATTCTTTTTTTTTTTTTTTTTTTTTTTGCGGTACGCGGGCCTCTCACTGTTGTGGCCTCTCCCATTGCGGAGCACAGGCTCCGGACGTGCAGGCTCAGCGGCCATGGCTCACAGGCCCAGCCGCTCCACGGCGTGTGGGATCTTCCCGGACCGGGGCACGAACCCGTGTCCCCTGCGTCGGCAGGCGGACTCTCAACCACTGCGCCACCAGGGAAGCCCGGAAAGTGTTCATTTTTAATCAATCATTTTTCACTTGAAATGTCTGTCACCTACCTTATTTGAAATAGTGGGCCCAATTTTAATCCTGTCCCTCACCGCCCCGCCCTGAAATCAAAATCTATCTCATTTAGGCTCAATCTTATCTTCAGGCCTCTTCTTCCTTATTAGTCCCTGCTAATTTAGAAAACTTGTAGAATTTGTCCTCCCAACCATGACTTCAGAAACGTGTAAATTCAGGCAAAGTCTTAGAGTCCAGGCTCCTTTCCAAAGCACATTCATCCAATTCAAACAGGATTCATTGCCCTATCATCACTAAGGGTCATGAGACTCAGGCTTCCTCCTTGGTAGCTGCTAGTTATCCCAGCATTCTCTAACCCCACAAAAATAAACCTTTAGATACTGTCTACACATAACCAAACTACAATACAAAAGCATACTCATTATCAGGTGAGATTTATATTCATAGACTTAACCTAGAGGAAGAAGACTTGAAATTTCCCTGGTCCTGTGTAAGACCTAATCCCATCACCATTCTACCATTAACTTGATGTCAGACAAGTCGATTCACCTATATCAGGTAACCAAACTAAAAAAAGTAGAACAAAACAAGCAGAAAAAAACAAACAAACAATCAAAACACATTAGACGAGACCAAAGAAACAAATAAAAACCAATACAACTTATCCTAGGAGTGAAAAACTTTAACATCTGAAAATCAATTAATATAATACATCTTATTAATAGAAAAAATGACAAAAATACATGATAATCTGAATAGATGCAAAAAAAGCATTTGACAAAACCCAACAACTTTTCATGATAAAAACACTCAACAAACTAGTAATAGAAGGGAACTTCCTTAAACTAATAAAGCCTATCCAAGAAAAATGCACAGCTAACATCCCACATAATAGTGAAAGACTAAATGCTTTCCCCCTAAGATTAGGAACAGGACACAGATGTCATCATTCCTATTCAACATTGTACTGGATGTTCTATCCAGGGCAATTAGGCAAGAAAAAGAAATCAAAGGCATCTAGATTGGAAAAGAAGTAAAACCGTCTCTATTTCCAAATGAGAAAATTTTATAGATGAAAAATCCTAAGGAATGCCCTAAAAAACTATTAGGCATAAAAAATTAATTCAGGAAGGTTACAAGATACAAGATTGATACACAAAAATCAATTGTATTTCTACACACTTGTGATGAGCAATCTGAAAATAAAATTAAGGAGATAATCCATTTAAAATAGCATCAAAAAGAATAAAATACTTTGGAATAAATGTAACAAAAAAGTACACATTTTATGCTCTGAAAATTACAAAACATTGTTGAAAGAAATTAAAGACTTAAATGAGTGGAAAGACATCCCATGTTCATGGATCAGATGGCAATAGCTCCCAAATTGACCTATAGATTCAACACAATCCTTATCAAAATCTCAGCTAGCTTTTTTGCAGGAAGGTGATCTTAAAATTTGTATAAAAAATGCAAGGGACTCAGTATAGCAAAACAATCTTGAAAAAGAAGAACAAAGTTGGAGAACTCATGCCTCTCGATTTCATAACTTACTACAAAGCCACAATAATCAAGACAGAATGTATTGGTTTAAGGATAAACATATAGATTAATGGAATAGAACTGAGAGTTCAGAAATAAACCCTAACATTAATGGTCCAACGATTTTTTTTTTTGGCTGCATCGGGTCTTAGTTGCGGCACACAGGATCTTTGTTGCGGCATGTGGGATCTTTTGTTGCGGCGTGAGGGCTTCTCTCTAGTTGTGGTGTGCGGGCTCCAGAGCACGTGGGCTCTGTAGTTTGTGGCACGCGGGCTCTCTAGTTGAGGGGTGTGAGCTCAGTAGTTGTGGTTTGCAGGCTTAGCTGCCCTGAGGCATGTGGGATCTTAGTTCCCCGACAAGGGATCAAACCTGCGTCCCCTGCATTGGAAGCCGGATTCTTTACCACTGGACCACCAGGGAAGTCCCAATGGTCCATTGATTTTTAACAACAGTGTCACATCAATTCAGTGGAGCAAATAATAGTTTTTAGAACAAATGACGCTGGGACAACTAGATATCCTCATGCAAAAGAATGAGGTTAGACCCCTATCTAACACTATATACAAATATTAACTCAAAATAGATCATAGACCTTGGTGTAAGAGCTAAAACTATAAAACTCTTAGAACAACACACAGGAGTAAATCTTTATGACCTTGGATTAGGTAATGGCTAAACCAACAAAAGAAAAAGTAGATGAATTGGACTTCCTCAAAATTAAAAACTTTTTTCCTGCAAAGTAAACCATCAAGAAAGTGAAAAGACAATCTCCAGAACAACAGGAAATATTTGCAAATCATAAGTCTAATAATGGACCTTATGGAGAATATATTAACAACTTTCATAACTCAATAATCAAAAGATAAATAACACAATTACAAAATGGCAAAGGATCTTAAAAGACAGCTCTCCAAAAAGGATATACAAGGGGCTAATAAGCACATGAAAAGATGCTCAACATCATTAACCATCAGGAAAATGCAAATCAAATCCACGAGATACCACTTCATACCCAGTAGGATGACCATAATTAAAGAGACAGATAAGGACAAGGGTTGGAGGATGTGAAGACATCTGAACCCTTATACACAGTTGGTGGGAATGTAAAATGGTGCAGCCACTCTGTAAAACAGTTTTCAGTTCCTCAAAATGTTCAACGTAGAGCTACCATATGACCCAGCAAATCCCCTCCTAGGTATATATCCAAGAGAAATGCAAACGTATGTCCACAGAAAAACTTGTAAACAAATGTTCATAGCAGCCTTATTCATAATAGCTAATTAGTAGAAACAGCCCAAATGTTCATCAACTGATAACTGGGTAAATAAAATGCAGTACATCCATAGAGGAGAATATTATTCAGCAATAAAAGCAATGAAGTACTGATACACACGACAACATGCACAAATCTGAAAAACATTACACTAAGTTAAAGACTCCAGTCACAAAAGACTATATATTATATGATTCCATTCATATGAAAAGTCCAAAATAGACAAATCTGTAGAGATAGAAAGTGGGCTGGTGATTGCCAGGGGAGTGGGAAACAACTGCTAATGGGTATGGGATTTTTCTTTTCTATATTTAAAAAAAAGTTTAGGACTTCCCTGGTGGTGCAGTGGTTGAGAGTCCGCCTGCCGATGCAGGGCACATGGGTTCGTGCCCCGGTCCGGGAGGATCCCACATGCCGTGGAGCGGCTGGGCCCGTGAGCCATGGCTGCTGAGCCTGTGCGTCCGGAGCCTGTGCTCTGCAACGGGAGAGGCCACAGCAGTGAGAGGCCTGCGCACTGCAAAAAAAAAAAAAAAAAAAAAAAGTTTAATTGTGGTAAAAAAATAAAACCACACATAATCTAAAATTCACCATTGTAACCATTTTTAAGTATACTGTTTAGTAGTGTTAAGTATATGCACATTGTTGTGAAACAGACCTCTAGGACTTTTTCATCTTGCAAAACTGAAACTCTATTCATTAATCAACTTCCCATTTCCCCCTCCTCCCAGACCCTGGTAACCATCACTCCACTTTGTCTCCATGAATTTGACTACTCTAGGTTCCTCATATGAGTGGAATCACACAGTATTTGTCTTTTTGTTTCTGGCTTACTTCACTTACCATCATGCCTTAAGGCTAATCCATGCTATAGTACGTGACAGGATTTCTTTCCTTTTTAGGGCTGAATAGTATTCCACTGTACATATATACCACATTTTGGTTATTCATTCATCTGCTGTTGGAAACTCAGGTTGCTTCCACCTCTTGGCTATTGTGAATAATGCCATTATGAACATGGGTGTGCAGATATCTGTTGAAGGTCCTGCTTTCAATTATTTTGGTTTGCTGGATCACAGGGGCATCTCTTTAGAGTGACAAAAGTGTTCTAAAATTTGTTAGTGGTGACGGTTGTACAACCCTAGAATATACTAAAAACCACTGAATTGTACATTTCAAGTGGGTGAATCAAATGGTCTGTGAATTATATCTCAGTGAAGCTGTTAAAAAATACAACTCAGAAAGGCTAAATCAAGGATATAGTTACATAAGGATTTTGACTGAACTGAATAATTAATCTGGTTAAATAACCAGTCAATCTTGTCACATGGGTAATTCTGACTCTTATTTGCAATGACCTGGCTAGAGATTTAGGTGTTTTTTGAGACATAACCTAAGTGCTTTTTTAACACTGACCATTAGAAGACATAGGAAAAAGAAAATGTCAGTACCTATTTTTAATTCACAATATTAAACCTTTTCATATTTTGTGTCAAGAAACACTGTGAAGAAATAACAAATTCATACTAACTATAGCAATTTTTATTTCATCTGCTCTGTAGGTATGGCATTCACCAGATTTTTTTAAAGATAGGGAAATAAGGTAGAACTTTATTCACTTTGACTTCAGATTCTCTTTTTGAAATGTCACTCACAATTATTTCACATAAAAGATGCCCCAAAGACAGAGTTTATTTGCCTTTCTCTTTTTTGCAATAAAAATTATAAAATTAAGAAGTCCTATGTCCATTGTCACCGAATGGGGAAAGAGGGAATAAATTAAAAAACAGGAGAGAAAAATTTTTGAGAAAAGAAAACATACATCAAATTCAGATTGTTCTCATCTCTAATTGTTATACACAACTAGAAAAGTTAACAGCAAAACAGATGGCCACTGAGGCTCAGAAACTCATTTCATCATCTTCTCTTTTGCTTCATCCAGACATTTTCAATTTTGTCAAGACTCAAAGTACAGATATAGAAGGACAATAAATGAGATAATCTCAAAGATTTCTAATAATCTCTTCTGATCAGAGCGGAGCAAAGTGAGAGAAACCTTACCAGTGTGACTGATCATTTTTAAAGCAACGTGGTCCATGTGGTTTACAGCAAAGAGACAAGTTTGGAAGCCAACTTTCAATCTTGGTGCCAAGCACAGAGTGAAACAATGGTCATGATCTAATTATAGTGATAGCTGTTATTATGTGGGACAGTCTTTCTTTTCAGATTACACATCTTATAAACTTTAACAGCTTTTCGTAAATAATCTCTCAGGGTTGACTTTAAGTGAAGGTTGAAATACTAACAGTTGATTTCAGATTCTTATTACAGATTTTTCAAAGTCCGTCTGTGTGCAGAAGCAAAATTATGAATGGCGACTCGAAGAGTTGAGTTCCCTTCAGGGATATCACAGGAATTGATGACTGAATGTAGTGCCCGGGTATATGCTGCAAATAAAGATTTGAACAGTGGTGAATGAAGTCAGATTCTAAACAATTCTCCCAACCTTTTTCTATTAGTACTGTTTCTCTGCCCAGTCTCATAGGAATTAACTTTAACCCATTCACTGAATAAATATTTACTGAGTACTTACCACATGCCAAGTACTCTGTGATTACAGAAAAGGTAAGGGAGAGGATGGACACAAAAATTAAATTGCAGTGTAATATTTCCAGACCAGAGGCATATACAAAATGTCATCACAGAATGAAGTTTGGAATGAAAGAAAAACTAGGAGAAGATGGAAAAGATTTCCAGAAGTGGTAACATTTAAGATGGTCTTGAAAGATTAATAAAAATAAAGGAAAGAAGGCATTCTAGGCAAAGAAATGAGTGTGTGGGGTGCGAAGGTATAAAAAAATGTGGCATGTCCTGGCAGTAGCAAGTTCGATGAAGGCTGGAGTGTTGCCTGGAGCCAGAGAGAAAATATGCCAAATACGACATGTATTTTGTACTGTAATGGTAAGTCCTACGGGTTTGATGATAGGGGAATGGCATGATCAGATTTGTGTTTTTAAAATATAACTCACAGGACTGATAAGGAACTCTTATCACAGGGCAACAGGAATACAAATACTTGCAGTACTTTCAGTGTGTGTATGAAGCCTATATAATCTCTACAATATGTAAATCAATATATTTAAGAATGGACAGGAAACAGAAATACTAGTCACAGCAGGAATGACTCATCTTCTCTAGCTGGGATCCCTGATAAAGGTAGAGTTTATATTGGTCCTCATTTCCCTCAGTGATCCTTAGCAGAACTGAAAGTCTAATGTGGATATCTACACATTATAATAATATATATATATGTGAAGATAAATAATAAGTCTATGTTAGATAAGGCCTAACTTAGATGGCCGTAAGAGGCAAGCTCTAATATTCTTCATTTACAGGAGGACCTGAAACCCTAGTCTCACTACTGTGGAGTGAGCTAGAAATATTTCCCCAGCATAAATGGAGACAAGAAGATAACAGATCTCAAAGAGAAATATAACTCACTATAATTATTTTTATTGCCTCAGAGTTGTTTTGCAAAGGGGGTAGAATAGTCTCTGATATATAGTAAGCCCTTAGTCAATAAATGCTAAATTACTACAATCACTACTTTTACTGTTGTTGTTTTCTTAACTGCCACCAGGCCCCAACCATTCCTTTAAGAGACTTACCTTTGTGGTTTTTATAGAAAATACAATTGTTGGCACAGGTATCAGGATGAGCATCCCAAAAATCAGGACCACAGCAGCATAGTGGAGGTAAAGCAATATTATACAGCTGCATTTTCTCCTGGATCTGGGCTCTTAAAGCTTCTACATATCTATAAAAATACAGTATGACCAGGCAAAGTGAACCACTAGGAAGAGAATGAGTATGAGTCCTTATTTTACTACCAGCTTTAACTGTTAAACTATTTCATATCTCTGTGCCTCAACTCTTGCTCTTGGTCCTGGGAAGCAGCACTAGGAAAGACGTAGTGCGATGCCAGAGAGGTATTAGGCAATCAAGAAATGTGATGAAGTTCTGTACTCCCCAAAGTATGAGAAGACACAGTCAACTCTTTTGTAAGGAAAATGAGAACACTGACTTCCTAACAAGTTTCCTCTAGAGCCAAAATTTCACACAGAACTTTTCAAAGTACCTTTGGTGTTCCTTTTCTTTCTGCTGTTTTTCTCTGGCTCCTTCCTCAAGTTGTAGCTGGGCTAGTATCTCACTCATCTTCTCCCCTGAATATGGCTCTTCATGAAAGTTCATTCTTAATATCCTCTGCTCTTCAGCATAACGTTGCTGCTCTTTCTTTTTCTTAATTCTGAGGATAAAATCATAACGTGGTTAGGAATTTCATAAAATCATTATTTAGAATTAGCTTCTAGATCCAAATAACTCAAGAAATTCCCAGAAACAGGGGAGTCAGGAAAGCAGTTTAACACCCCTAGAAAAGCCTCAAAAACTCCTGCTGGTTGATTTGAGTTTATCCCATAGTTCACGTATACACATGGCCTCCTGGATGGAAATGACCAATGGTTACTACTAAAAGAGTTTTCCTTTAAGAATTCTAATACAAGAACTTTCTCAGGTTAAAACTACAAGTAGACAGGACTTCTGCTTTTGGCTAAAATAGAGTAGTAGGGACTGGGCTTGCCCTCCCACCTTGAACAACCAAATAGATAAATAAACAAATCAACCAGACCAAATACAAAACAACAATGGTTTTTAAGACACTAGATATTAGACAACAAAAGACAGTGATCCTTGACAGATGGAAAACAAATGAAGTGAGCCCTACAGGTGCCCAAGCTTACTGCCTTGAAAGTTTCGAGGCAGCAGCACAGGGAGTTGAGGTGGAGCCTGGTAGACTCCCTGAGTCCAGGGACACAAAAGCAACTAGAGTTCCTAAGACAGAAAACCAGGGAGAGAGAGCTGCTCAGAGAGAGAACCCTAGAGATCTGCAGAGGGTCTCCTTCTAATACACAGCAGAGCACTGTGCATGTATGCGAGGAAATGATTTGGGGCCAGGGACAGGACCATCTGAAAGAATAACAGGGAACAGTGTCCTGTGCTCACACAGAGCACAGAATAGAGAGCCTGTTCCCACCAGTCAAGACTTGAAAAACTCATAATGCACAGGACATTGGGTAAAGTTCTCAGAAAGATTTTACCTCAGTAGTGGGAAATAATGATTAGTCCTAGACTGAGCACTGCTCCAGACACACCCAACATTGTAAAAGCAAAGCCCCAAAGTAACTTAACTGCATCCCAAAACAAAGCTCAGGAAAATTTATGAGAATACAAAGATATCCAGTAACCAACAAGGTAAATTCACAATGTTGGACATCTAATCAAAGATAAGATGCAGGGCTTCCCTGGTGGCGCAGTGGTTGAGAGTCCGCCCGCCGATGCAGGGGACACGGGTTCGTGCCCCGGTCCGGGAAGATCCCACATGCCGCGGAGCAGCTGGGCCCGTGAGCCATGGCCCCTGAGCCCGCGCGTCCAGAGCCTGGGCTCCGCAATGGGAGAGACCACAACAGTGAGAGGGCCACGTACCGCAAAAAAAAAAAAGATAAGATGCAAAGAGGCAGGAAAATACAACTCATAATGAAGAGAATAATCAATGAATCAAAATCAACCTAGAATGGACAGTTATTAGAATTAGCACAGAAGGACATTAAAACAGATAGTACAACTATATCCTATATGTTCAAAAAGTTTAGACGTAAAAAAGGCTGAAATCAACTTCTTGAGATGAAAACTACAATTTCTGAGATGAAAAATACATTGGAGAATAAGCTTATATATTAAAGAAATGGAATTAATAATAGGTAACCTTCCCAAACAGAAAGCACTAGGCCCAGATGGGTTCACCAAACAATTAAGGAAGAAATTATACCAAATCTCTTCAATCTCTTTCAGTGGGCAGAAACAGAAAGAATATTTCTTAACTCATTCTATGAGGTCAGCATTACTCTAACGCCAAAACCTGACAAAGATATTACAAGAAAACTACAACAAATATCTCTCATGAACAAGAGGCAGAATTCCTCAAAAATATTAGTAAGTCAAATCCAATGATGTACATATATTACATTCCACAGCCAAGTGGAATTTATGCCAAGAAAGCAAGCCTGGTTCAACATGAAAAAAATCAATTAATGTAATAGATCACGTCAATAAGCTAAATAAGAAAAATCACAAGATCCTATAAATAGATACAGAAAAAGCATTTGACAAAATCCAATACCATATAATCCAGCAATCATACTCCTTGGCATTTACTCAAAGGAGTTGAAAACTTACACCCACACAAAACCTGCACATGGTTATTTATTTATTTATTTATTTATTTATGGCTGTGTTGGGTCTGTTTTTTTTTTTTTTTTGCGGTACGCGGGCCTCTCACTGTTGTGGCCTCTCCCATTGCGGAGCACAGGCTCCGGACGCGCAGGCTCAGCGGCCATGGCTCACAGGCCCAGCCGCTCCGCGGCATGTGGGATCTTCCCGGACCGGGGCACGAGCCCGTGTCCCCTGCATCGGCAGGCGGACTCTCAACCACTGCGCCACCAGGGAAGCCCTGTGTTGGGTCTTTGCTGCTGTGTGCGGGCTGTCTCTACTTGCAGTGAGCAGGAGCTACTCTTCGTTGCGGTGTGCGGGCTTCTCATTGCCGTGGCTTCTCCTGTTGCAGAGCACGGGCTCTAGGTGCGCAGGCTTCAGTAGTTGTGGCACGTGGGCTCAGTAGTTGTGGCTTGAGGGCTCTAGAGCTCAGTCTCAGTAGTTGTGGCGCACAGGCTTAGTGGCTCCGCGGCATGTGGGATATTCCCCGGCCAGGGCTCGAACCTGTGTCCCTTGCATTGGCAGGAAGATTCTTAACCACTGCGCCACCAGGGAAGCCCTAAAGTAGCTTTACTTATAATTGCCAAATCTTGGAAGAAACCAAGATGTCCTTCAGTAAGTGAATGGATATATAAACTGTTGTACATCCAGACAATGAAATATTATTCAGTACTGAAAAGAAATGAGCTATCAAGCCATGAAGAGACATTGCACATAAATGCATATTACTAAGTGAAAGAAGCCAATCTCAAAAGGCTACATACTGTATGATTCCAACCATATGACATTCTGGAAATAGTAAAACAATGGAGAAAGTGAAAGATCAGTGGTTGCCAGAAGCTGGGGTTGGAGGGAGGGAAGGAAAAAGGGTGAAAAGGCAGAGCATAAAGGACTTCTAGAGTAGTAAAACTATTCTGTGTGATACTATAATGATGGATACATGTCATTACACATTTGCCCAAACCCATAAATGTACAACACCAAGAGTGATCCCTAATGTAAACTATAAACTTTGGGTGATAATGATGTGTCAATGTAGGCTTATCACTTGTTAACAAATGTACCACATCGGTGGGGCGGCTGGGCGGGGGGGATGTTGATAATGGGGGAGGCTCTGAACGTCAGGGGACAGGGAGTACATATGGGAAATTGCTCTACCTTCCTCTCTAATTTGCTGTGAATCTAAACTGCTCTATTAAAATAAATTATTTAAAAATATACACTGGATGGGATTACCAGGAGACTAAATGCTGCAGAACGAAATCTGAAAGCATAATGATAGAAATTATCCAAAATAAACCACAGGGGAAAAATCCAAAAAATTAAGAGGAACACAAAAAAGCAGTTAATCCAATTAAAAATGGGTAAAGGACTTGAATAGACATTTCTCCAAAGATGATCTATAAATGACCAACAAACTTGAAAAGATGTTCAATATCACTAATCTTTAGGAAAATGCAAACCAAAATCTCAATGAGGTATCTATCACCTCATACCACATTCACAGCAATGTGAATATGTTTATTTATTAACACTACTGAACTGTACACTTGAAAATGGTTACAATGGTAAATTTTACATTATGTGTTTTATACCACCAAAAAAAAAAGGCATGTCACATAAATATATAAATGAACAAATGGAGGGGGAAAAATGAAACAAAGTTGTTTTTAGATATACAAAACCTGATAGAATTCATCCCTAGTACAGGCATAACCCAGAGGTACTGCGGGTTTGGTTCCAGACCACTGTAATAAAGGGAATATTGCAATAAAGCAAGTCACATGAATCTTTTGGTTTCCCAGTGCATATAAAAGTTCTGTTTACACTACATTGTAGTCTTTTAAGTGTGCAATAACACAATGTACATGCCTTAATTAAAAACTAATGCTATCGGAAAAATGGCACCAGTAGACCTGCTCAACACAGGGTTGCCACATACCTTCAATTGGTAAAAACTGCAATATCTGCAATGTGTAGTAAGACATAGTGCAATACAATGAGACATGCCTGTGTATCCACAGCTAAAAGAAATGTTAAAGGCTGTCTTTCAGACCTGAGCAAAGTGATACTTTAGGTAATATATATAAGGTTTTTCTTATTAGTTAAATCTCTTTAAATAATAATAGACTGCTTTAACAAAAATAACAATGTATTTTATATATAAAAGTAAGATGGGGCTTCCCTGGTGGCGCAGTGGTTGAGAGTCCGCCTGCCAATGCAGGTGACACGGGTTCGTGCCCCGATTCGGGAAGATCCCACATGCCGCGGAGCGGCTGGGCCCGTGAGCCATGGCCGCTGAGCCTGCGCGTCTGGAGCCTGTGCTCCACAACAGGAGAGGCCACAACAGTGAGAGGCCTGCATGCCACACACACACACACACAAAAAAAGTAAGATGTATGACAATAGCATAAAGGTTGGGATGAGAGAAATGGAAGAATATTACTTTAAGATTCTTATATTAAGATTTTTATACTATATGTGAAGTAGTATAATATCATTTGAAGGTAGACTGTGAAAAGTTAGAGATGTATGATATAAATCCTAGAACAACCAATAAAATAACAAAAATGTCATAGCTAACATGCCATCAAAGGAGATGTAATAGATGTAAAAATATAAAAGTAATTCAAAAGAAGGCATAAAAAGAGAAAAAGAGGACAAAGAACAGATGGGACAAATAGCAAGATAATATACTTATATCAAACCCTACCAAAAATCACATTAAAAGTAAATGATCTAAACACCCCAATTAAAAGGAAGAGATTGTCAGATTTGACAAAATGTCACAACCCAACTACATGCTGCTAACAAGAAACACATTTTAAATACAAAGAAACAAATAGATTAAAAATACAAGAAATACAAAAGATATGCTAGCACTAGTTAAAAGAAGGTTGGAGTAGGTATATTAGTATCAGACAATGTAGATTTCAGAGCAAACAAAATATCAAAGATAAAGATCACTTCATAATTACGGAG